TCGCGATTGCTGAGCAAGAAAACGACACATTCATATTCCAATGCCGAGGTTAAGAGAAAGTCGATCCTGGGAACTATTTCCTTATACTTCTGATAATTAGTGTAGAATCTTAAGCTTCACTATTTTTTTCATTTTACTTATCTAACGCAAAAATTTGTTTTACATACATAGTTCACCCATAAGGTATTAACTTTCGTGCCAACACCGGTGAATCTTATCCAAAACGTCATGAACTAATCTGCAGTTAACTTCTCTACATAAAGATAGAGAAAATTGCTAGTCAATACAGAAATTTTAACTGGTAGCAGCAAATAAAAGTAGTTACTAGAAACCTAAGAATGCAAAGGATTCGTTGGCTCAGTCAAGCAAACCATCTCTTTATCAGTGTTCCTCTGTGATTTGTGGTTTTCTGAAGATTCGGTTTTTTTTAGGGAACGAGAGGATCGTCGGCTTGGCGTGCCGCACTTACAATGAGTACAACAACGATGCCTCTATTCGCTTTTTGGTATGTAGTAAAATTTAAGGTACCTCTATTGATAAATTTGGAATTGAAACCGACGAAGGAATCAATAAATAGATGAGTAAAACAGATCCACAATTCTTATTGGTTTTACTGCTCACATTCGTAAATTTTTCGAGAGGAGACATATTGTAGAGTTCAAAGAAATGGACTCATATTTAATAAAATGCCTTGCTATGCGCATCGATTTCATAGCGTGTCTTCCCGAAGATACATGCATCTTTCAACTAGCACATCTTCGCTAATAGCGAGCCTTATTAGTTGAAATCTTAAGCCTGCGATCCGCTCCAAATCTACTAGAATCTGCATATCTTTGTCTCTAATGTACAATAATGAGATTCTGTTTTTCCTTTTGAATCCATAAAACATGTTATTTCGGTCTTTTTCTTTGAGGCTCGGGTTTAGCATGCTAGAGCAATTGAACGAACTGGGTTTCATGTTTTAGGACATGATAGTGTTCTCCAAAGACTCGCTAATGTTTATCCCCACTGTTATACAACGACAAAAACTTAGATTTCACTTGCATCTTTTTGAAAGTCTGGACTTTCTACAAGTCGAAAGTTAAGAAACCATTTTGTAAAAGTTATCTTTATTCATTAAGCAATAGAGCAAAGCATCTTCTGAAGCTGTATCGACCCCTCAACTACTCGTTTACTCCACTTATTGTGAAATTATTGCCAACTCTTAATAAACCAGTATCGAGATACACATTCCTGTGTTATGATGTGAGCTTTAAAAAAGGCAACAAGAAATGTCTTTGAAATCCAGCCTTCGCTTGGACAATAGAACCACAGACAGCTAGTGCGTTTCATGGAACATAGTTTTTAAAGCGTGGCCTGTTTTATCTAACTACAGTACACATCCCACGGATCTCCACCATATGAGGGATCTCGAGCCGATTAGTCGCGAGACTACGTAGCGCGTCCTCAGGTGCCGGATAGGAGGTTAATCGCGGACCAAAAGCGACCTTTGCTTCCCTGAGACGCAGATGGATCCAGAGGATGGACTGCCTGTTTCTACTGCTCTATTTGGGACATACTTTCTGTATTTGCTAGGCGTATTCATGCATGCGTTTGTGGGTGCGTTTTTGCTTATGTGGATTGTATTTTACGAGTCAATTCGGCCAAAAGCCCACAATCAAGTGACAGGGAAGTATATGAAAAGCGGTTAGGAGTCGCCTCCAACAAATAAACTCCATGTCCACTCTGGGAGAGCGTGGCAAACTACCCATGAGTATACCCCCACATTCACTGCCCAGCAAGCTTCTCGGAACATGCGACAGTATAGGAGTCGGCGGTCATTCGAACAACATACAATTCGAATCGGACGTTTACAATTAAAAGATGTGCATCAATACCGGCTATGATGACGAAGAAGAAGTCGAACCGTTTTATTTGGACTTAGAGAGGTTTTACAGAGAAGACCATACATGCTTCAAGGTCATCATTGGAGATTTAAAGGCTAAGATTGGACTAAGAAGAACGTCTGAAGAACGTCATATTGGGACCCACGGTTAGAGTGGAGCGAACAGAGTGAGCAGCTGTCTGAGATTATCATGACGACCAAGACTATCTATGGTAACTCGCAATCCCAGAAGCCGCACCCTCAACGCTGGACGTGGGAGTCACCCAATGGAGAGTACCATAACGAAGTAGATCACATCATAGTAAATAGAAGGCTTTTCCTAACCGATGTTGCTGTTGTACTGAAAGTCTACATCAAACCATCGCCTCCTTCGTGCAAGATTTTGTTTCTGGCGGAATGGAGGAAAAGCCGTCAAATTCAAAAACCAAATTCCCAGAACCACCGCAAACGGATTTATTCAATTCATTAGTTGGCTGTTGGGAAGATGCCGTTGTCGATAACATGGACGAAGAATATGATCGTCTCATTCAACATCTTCGCGTTAGCTCTGTGAAAGCTGACAGTTCGAAAGTCACCAAGAGACGTCTGTCTTCAGAAACTCTTGGGCTGATACGCCAGCGTGGATTCGCACGGGCTGCGAGTAACCGCGAACTAACGTCCAAACTTGCAAAATAATGCAGACAGGCGATAAAAGATTTTAAAGAGAGAAGAGCAGCAGTAATGATCGAAGCTGTAGAAGCTGGGAAAAGCATTAGCAAATCCCCCGAAGCTTCGCCAATTACAAGACCAAGATGATTGCGCTGCGACGTCCAGACGGAGCAGTTACAGCGGCGAGAAAGGCAATGGAGAAAATCATTCACGAATACTACTCAGATTTTTTCGATAGCCACGTCCATCTTCCATCAAGACGTGTAAGACCATCAAGACCGTGTTATTGTTCAAGAAGGGTGACCAACACGATATAAGCAAGTATCGCCCAATCTGCTTGCCGCCTGTCGTCTACAAAGTTTTCACTCGAGTCATCTTAAACAGGGTTGACAGAGCACTAGACCAAGGGAAGCAATGTGAGGAAGCAGGGTTTCGAAAAGGATTAGGTACGATGGACCACATCCACGCGATAACAGGACTCATTGGAGTACCGCGAGAGTACAAAAGACCGCTCTGTCTTACTTTCTTCGATATACAGAAGGTCATTGATGCAATTGACATATAAGCAGTCATGGAAGCCCGTGATGATCAAGAAGTCCTTACTCAGTACACAAACATTCTTCGTGAGCTGTGCAGAAAATTCAGAACCAAGATATCACCATTTCACAACGATATTAACATTGTTGTCAAAAGAGGGGTTAGGCCGGACGATACCATCTCGCCAAAATTATTTTCCGCCACCCTCCAGAACGTCATGCGAACATTGGAATGGGATAATATGGGAGTGAAAATCGATGGTCGGCACACTATTTTCGCTTTACTGGTGGTATCGTTTTTACAACACCAATTAATAGCCAGGCGGAACATATGCTAGCCGACTTTGATAAAGTCTGTGGAAAGATTGGTCTTCGACTAAATGTTACAAGAACGATGTTCATGAAGAACGGATTGGTTTCGCATGCCCCATTCACGCTCAACGGAACGCTCAACAGAATCAACATGATGAACAACTTAGCTCCAGGGTTGAGCAGAAAGGAACGAGCGGCTTGGGGAGCTTTCAAGAGCATCGAGGACGTAGTGAAGAAAACAAAGAACACCTGACTCCGTGCCCACCTTTTTGGCTCAACGGTACTTTCTGCCCCAACCTATGCGTCAGAAACCTGGTGACTGCGTAAGTAGGATGAAAGGTCACTCAGCGTTATTGAACGCAAAGTTGGAAGGGTGATGCTAGGGGTGTCCCATTTCACACAAGTAAGGGAAGGGATCCGAAGCTCCGACGGATGCTGTTATGTAGGCCAAACAGTCGAAGATAAGGTGGGCCGGACACGTAATGCGTATGAATTCAACTTATGGACAAGAGTCGTCAGTGATTGGATTTCTCGGGATGTCAAACGTACTGCCGGGAGACCGCTGATCCGATGGTCAATGTTCTCCACGAAAAGCGTTGAAGAAAGGTATGATGCTCAGCGAGTTCCTAGAGCGAGCAGAACCCACTGTGCTACTCGGCAAGGAAAAATGGGAGATCTGCTGGCGCCCGCTTGAGTCAATCGACGATCAACGGGGCTACAGGTGATACAGGTGGTAGATTACACATCGCGTTATTCGTTTAAATTGGTCTCTGAAACACATGACACCTTTGATACACTATATACCATGGTGTGTGAAGTGAGGGAAAGTGGACAAAATGCATCACATTCAATGCATTTACTCTTATGCGGCTGATTTTGCTACATTGCTTTTTTTTCGAACTTTTTGCTCTTAATTCATAGTTTGTCCAACACAGATGCTATCTCAAGTGTGGCCCATGAAAAACTGGGAAAACTTTCCGGACGTGATCAGTGATTAGTGGTTTGACTGGCAATTTACTGTTTTTTTATTTCAAGTAGTTATAGTGGATCATAGTCATCCACTGGAACGGGCGTTATAGACAGAGATGCAAAACATTTCCATATGTCGACAGCAACGTATTTTCATGGTCGAACACAGTAACGTGCACTAAATAGTGAAATTAGAGGAATAGAGTAAAGTGTTTTCTGTAATGCCGTGGTCTTCTTGGTCCTTCGAATCCTCTAGTTATCGAAGAATTACATTCTATTGGAGAAAAGCTAAGAAACTGGTAATGAACAAGAAATTAGATATTGCCCCACCCAGAACACGCAAATTTGGACGTGGGCTGTTATGTATTGAACAAAAGTATCTGATATTTTACATGAAGTGGTACAATATTTCACATAATTTAATTATATATTTTAATGTTCCAAAGATTTCTCATAGTACCCTTTTATGAAAAAAGACTAGGCAGTAAGTAAAAGTTAGGACATTACATGACGTTTTGTTGTTCTCCAGCGCTTAAACTACGTAGCAGTCATTTTAAACTGAAAAGCACTTCTACAGTAATGAAAGAAGATTTCTTCACAAAAAAAACCCGCATTCGTTGGTATTAAGCCAGATCCATAACAGTGTATTGAAAATACATTGTAATCCCAAGATCTTTAAAGACATTAGGTTTCCACTTTTGTGATTTTATGTTTGTTCTTCAGGTGTCTACTAATGCGCGGCCCATCAGCTTTAGCTTATCAGCTCGGCTTCTCGTTAGCGGTTATTGTCGTTTTTTCGTCAGTAGCCGGTATTCTTCATTATGTTCCTTCACCCAGCCTCTTCACTTACGCACGACTACGCTTTTTCTCCGGTACACGTAAGTTTAGTTTCAGATAGGATTTATTTTCTAATGTGCAAAAATATACAATGGAGGTTCTTTTCTTAGTGACAGGATCTCACAAGGAATCTAGACAAGTGCTTTAGAAGTGGATACTTTTAAAGACATTCTTCTTATGTATTATTTCATCGATAATCCTACACGAGGTTGACAAGCAGCTCTATTCGACTAACGTTTCACCGTCATCATTTTCATCAAAGCGGATTATCGATGGCCCACATTTGTTCGTCTTCTCCTAAACATCCTTTTTAGTTTTACAGTTTGTTAACAGCTTTATAATGAGCTCTAACAGCAACGTTTTCGAAAATGGTCTCTATTATTCTGGGAAAATACATAATCGAGCATTTTGGTCAAAAATTATAGATGAGGAGTAAAACTCGCCAAGAACATTAGTAAAGTAAGGTAATGATTAATTCCCCAGCTATGGTTCCTCATCTTCACCTCCGCATCTTCGAAATCGTCAATTTTCGTTCGTTTCTAACTCCTAGGTCTTTTACGGGCGGGACACTTATTAAGTATTAAATATATTTTATTGTGACACTGCTCAAAACTGGTTTTCAGATGCTATCAACATTCTATCTTAATGAAAATTCTTTATTGATTCTCTTAATTGTATTTGAATTCAAATTAGAAGAAGGTTATTTGATGGGGATTACGAGCTTTATTGAAAATATTTATGTAATAAATATGAACATAAAAACGAATTAAATATGCCAATAACTAACTCTTTCTTAGAAAGCACAATGTTTATGTAGCTTCGTAAAAATCAATTGGACTCTTTTGTGACACTGCATGGTCCTCCGACGAAAATATTAAGTGAGAAGCTCGTACTGTAACTGGGAGAGCTGTCGCTTTGCTACGTTTTCTTTTTTTTTTTGAAGCAAGAAAGTGGTACATTGATGTTTTCAGTACGACTACTATTGTCTGTACTTCAAACTATCATCACAATATCCGGTATTCTTCTTGTCTTACTACATTCATCAGCATTATTGGATTCGGTGTCGTTATTTTCACTTTATCTCTGTATTGCACTCATGGGATTTTTCCCAATGTTTGGAATCGTTTTCGCTGGGTACTCTAGTATGATGATGGTTACGCTTATCTTCAATACATTTGTAAGTTTCCTTTTACATATTTTGATCAAACTTTGTAAGGGGCACTGGGGCGAAATGCAAGTCGGCTCTCTCACAGTGGTCTCCTATTGGTTATGATGTACTACTATTTAAAATCTGGGAATTAGATAATAGTTTATTTATTCAGCACACGTGAACACGGCCTTATCATTGCATGAAAGTTTTATTTCTCGAGACCTTGCTTATTAAAAACATTCTGCGCTTTATCTTTCCTTCAAGTTGTACGCTGTTCACCTAAAGTCCGAATCACCTGTATCACGTGTAGTCCCATTGACCGCCGAGTGAGTGACTTGTGCGAGTGCCAGTAAATCTTCCATTTTTCCCTGTCGCTTGCAAGAGCAGCCCAGTGCGTTCTGCTCGTTCTAGGGATTCGCCGAACATCATATCTTTCTCCTAGGCTCTTCGTGAAGAACTCTGACCATCGGGTCGGTGGTCTTCCTGCAGTACGTTTGACATCCCGAGGAAACCAGTCACTAAAGGCTCTTGCCCGCTAGTTGTCATTCATACGCGCTACGTGTCTGGCCCACCTTATCTTCGACTGTTCGGCGTACAGAACGGTATCTTTGATTTTTGATCGTTGGCGCAGGTCGGAGCTCCAGATTCTTTCCCTTACATGAAACGGGAGACTCCTAGCATAGTCCTTTCGACTGCGCGTTCTATAACGCTGAGTGATTTTTCATCCTGTTTACGCAGCGACCAGGTTTCTCAGGCATACGTTAGGACAGGAAGTACCGTTGAGTCGAAAAGGTGGGCACGAAGTCGGGTGTTCCTTGTTCTCGTCACTACTTCTTCGATGCTTTTGAAGGCTCCAGAAGCCGCTCGTTTTCTTCTGCTCAGCTCTGGAGCTAGGTCGTTAATCATATCGATTTCCCGACCTAGATAGATATAACTGGAGCATTCAGAGATATTCGTTTCGTTGAGCGTGAATGGGGCATGCGAAACCAATCCACTGTTCAGGAACATCGTTTTTGTGAGATGTAGTCGAAGACCAATCTTTCTATAGGCTTTATCAAAGTCGTCAAGCATACGTTCCGCTTGGCTAATGTTTGGTGTTATAAGGACCATGTCATTAGCAAAGCGAAGATGGTGTAACTGCCGACCATCGATTTTCATTCTCATATTATCCCATTCCAATGTTCGCATAACGTTCTGGTGAGATGGTATCGCCTTGCCTAGCCCCTGTTTTGCTTCAATGTTAATAATATTGCAGAATAGTGATATCTTAGTGAATTTTTTGTACAGCTCACGAAGAATGTTTATGTACTGAGTAGGGTCTCCTTGATTACCAAAGGCTTTCATGACTGCTTCTTTCTCAATTGACTCGAAGGCTTTGCTTAAATCGATGAAAGAGAGACAGAGCGGTCTTTTGTACTCTCGCGGTATTTCAGTGAGTCTTGTTATCGTGTAGATGTGGTCCACCGTATAAATCCTTTTCGAAACTCTGCTTGCTTATATGGCTGTCCTTCGTTTAGGGTTCTGCAAATCCTATTTAGGATTATTCGAGTGAAAAGTTTGTAGACGACAGACAGCAAGCAGACCGGTTGCGGATATAGTGTTTGTCACCCTTATTGAACAAAAGTGCGGTCTTGATGGTCTTCCACTGAGTGCATTCCTTGCATTCAGGCAGGTAACATGTGAACAGCCGAGGCAGTGTGTTTACGAAAACTGGCGGAATGTTCTTCAGGTGTTTTGGCCTTATCCTGTCCTGACCTGGTGCTGTTCGATTTTTCACTGACGAAATGGCATGTCGGATTTCGGAGGGGAGAACCGGTGGTACAACATATCCATCCTGCGATTGCACGCTGGTGTATCAGCTCGAATGTTTCTGGAGGCAGACGTCTCTTGGTGACTTTCGAACTCTCAGCTTTCACAGTGCTAACGTGGAGGTGTTGAGTGAGCGGATCGTATTCTTCGTCGATGTTATCGACAACGGCATCTTCCCAACAGCCCACTAATGAATTGAATAAATCCCAGCTTACGGTGGTTCTGGGAATTTGGTTTTTGAATTTGGTAGCTTTTTCTACTTTCCGCGAGAAATAGAATCTTGCACGAAGGAGGCGATGGTCTCATCCCGTCTAGAATTTTGGGGCAACAGCGACATCGGTTAGGCAAAAGCTTCTATTTACTATGGTGTGGTCCATTTCGTTATCGTAGTCTTCATTGGGAGACTCCCACGTTCGAAATTGATCCACATCTTTTTAATCGTAAACGTCCGATTCGGGTTGTAAGTTGTTCGAGTGGATCGATGTCCATGGACAAACTCGTGTTGAGGAGAACGCCGACGCCGCCGACTCCTCTACTGTCGCATCTTCCGGGGACCAGTTCTTCTCCGGTGTCATAGACGGCGTTGAAAGGATGGCGTCTCCTCGTCTCGGCCATCTGACCGATGACGTCGTACCTTGTCCTTCTTGATTACATGAGCATGTCCTCTATCGACGACTCGGATTCAAGTGTACGTGTATTGTGAGTACAGGTCGTCACCATAGTTTTTTGAAATCCATGCGGCTTCATTGGTTCTGAAATTTTAGCAGCCTCTCCGTGCTTATCCTACCAAACGCTGCGAAATTGGTGCTCTCTTAAGTGATCAGGGGAACGAGGCCCGTTTTTTCTTACCGTGTTTAGGATTTTGATATCCACGTATAGCTTGCTAGGCTCTGAATATGGGGGCTGGGTATGCTCAAGGGTAGGTTGGCAGGCTATCTCAGATTGGACATGGAACTTATTTGGTGGAAACGACTCCTAACCGCCTTCCATATACTTCCCTGTCACTTGATTGCATGCTTTTGGGCAAATTGAATCGTAGAATACAATCCGCATAAACTTGAATGCACCCACAAACGCGTAGATGAATACACCTCGTAAATACAGAATGTATGTGCTAAATTGACGCAGCAGAAACAGGGAGTCTATCCTCTGGATCCACCTGCGTCTCAGGGAAGCAATGGTCGCTTTTTGTCCGTGATTAACCTCCTATCCGGCACCTGAGGACGCGCTACGTAGCCTCGCGACTAACCGGCTCGAGATCCCTTATATGATGGAGATCTGTGGTCCGAATCATGTGACATAATCAATGATATTTACTTGTATACTTTGATGGCCCGTCTTCACTGGCGGCGCGGGCACCAGCATAATTTTCAATGTTTTCGCAGTTTTGCTGGTTTATCTGTTGTGGTTGTCTGGAGTCCTGTGATCAGTCTAGCCGGGATAGTTAATTTATAGTTTTTTTTAGTTTATAGTTTAGTCTTGTTTGATATCGGGATGGTGGTGGACCTTAGTATTGGCTTACTCTTCGCTGCTCTTCCTGTTGGAAACCTCGGTTTCCCTATTAGCTGGGAGGCCCTGCTGGGAACACCCAGGAACACCTCTCAACATCGATGAGGCGATAAACTGTTGCGGATTTACTTTAGTTATACCACTTTTTTATGAAGCCTATAGATGCATATTGATTATACTTTTAAGAATTTTGCGAAATTATTTCCATACGTATGTTTTAAATATAGTATGGTGTTAACGATTCGACCGAAAAAGAAGACACCTGTGGCTTTTTTCCTAACAAAAGTCTTTTCTTTTTTTACGTTTCCAGTAAAAATAATATATTTTCAGTGCATGCTCTTTGGCCTAGGTCTTCTTCTTTGTTTTGGAATAAAAGATGCCACTTCTTTCCGAATTATCTTACCGTCGGAGTTTTCTATGACAGACAGTGCGGTATCACTCTTCGTTGGATTTATCGTTTCACTCTATCAGTTAACTTCAAGCCCATTTCTCTATCAGGTCCTTGTGATTTTATCAAACGGTTTACTTATCCGTTCTTTTAAATATTTGTTTAAATAGCTGAGATAAATAGCTGAGATACGCGCAAAGCGAAGGACCCGGATGGTGTAGTGGTGAAGTGCGCTGCTCCCCGGTAAGGGCAGCAGCGCATGTTCGTTTTCCACTGCATACACCTGTGGTCCGGAGTTTTGCAAATATCTCAGCATTTCATATTTGTTTGAATAGTTGCTTTTTATACTCGTGCTTAATTTTTTGGACTCACAGTTATATGTTGAAATTTCTGAACAACTTAACTATTGCGTAGGAATACCAGATTCAGTAACCATGATAATAACTTGATGTACTTAATTATGAGTGGTTTTCAATGTTCCACCAGGTGTTATTTTTATTATATCATCATTCTTTTCTGAACTGAAAATTTCGTTGGTAGAGAATTGACGGTTAGAAAGTACTTTTTGTTTTGGCTTTATATCCTTGAGAAAAAAAAGTGAGAGGCCCGTAAAATCCTGGTTGATTTTTTGAATTTTGTGGGAAAAGATAATTAGGGTTTAAATCCTACATCGTCATCAAAGGCGGGGAAATCTCTGTATGGGATTCTTTTTTTTATGATGGATGATATCTTAAGTGCAAAACATGTAGAAACCTACTTTTTCGAGAGTTTCTCAGGAATGGCTTGTCCTTTTAAAGCAAGGCGTTCATCTTCCGTAATTAGGTTTTAAAAAATCGTAGTCTATCACAACGGTGGAGGGAAACTGAATCTGGTCGGCGCATCAAAACATCACCACAACTTTGTTCTCGACGAATTTGACTAAATTCGTTCTACCGTAATTTTTTTTGTTACTAGGTTCCACCGCTCAGCCGGTAACGACGAAAATGTTGTTAAACGGCTAATTATTTGCAAAATAAATTAAAGCTGTGTTTTAGCTTAACTAAGACACTTAGACACTTAGCACAATGTGGGTTCTATAAGATTACTATAAAGCTTGTTGATATTGAGGAAGGGACTGACGGTGTGGGTGAGTATTGTTCAATAATAAAGGAAGACGTGAAATACCTAGGCAAAAATAAGATTATAAACTGGTAGTAAATAGCATCTGCTCACGGTATTCTTAATACCGAAAGGATAAAGGATAAAGCTCTCCGCGTTGATCAATCCCTTAGGAAGGCACCATGCATTCAACTTCAGTAAGTAACGTTTGGAGGTGATTGAATGCAAATCTGCCCTTTACAATGACTCGCGGTGGCCTACCGATGTATCGAACCAGTGCTGCTATCCTCCCAGGCAAGCCTAGTACCAATTTGCCAACGACGGAGGGATGGAAGTCTTGGCAAGCCATAAGCGCGGAGATTAATTCCACGTGCTGCCAGCCGCCTTCGACCACTGCGCCACAAACAACAATTAAAAATGCTGTGAATGTCCTGCGCAACTCGATAGTATGGAGCATCTCTAAGGGGTAAATAAACTCTGAACGCTCTACGCTTCTTTTTCATGTTATGTTATTCAGTTAAATCCGTGCCATTATTGGTGAAGAACTCCCACTATGCGAGCGAGCACATTTTGGTTGAAATATTAGAACTACAAATCGAATTGCATTATTCATTCAGACCCTTTTTTATTTTAGTCTTTGCAACCTCCTTTCATCTCTCTTTTCTGTTCTCACTAAGAGATATTTTCATTTATTACAAAATCTACGTCTTCTTGTAAGTGTTATTGAAGCGTTTGGCCTAGTAGATTGTATATCAGTATACCCTTCCAGGC